AACAAATACTCAATGTATTCATGGACAAATCTTTATTTTATTTTATTAAAAATACTTCACTAAAAAATATGACTTTTTGTATATGAAAGACTTGTAATATTAACTGAAAGACTGTCAAATTTTGTGAAGATATATCCAATATATTCAGAGTTATAAGTATTAATTTATAAAGACTTTAAATGACTACAAAAGGTCACGTGACTGGGTCAAATTGACCGACTCTGTGTCGAGAGAGTTAAGGAATTATTTTTACTTAAGACTTGTTGGTGATTATATAGTCTTTTTTTTTTTACCAGTCCAAGTGCAAAATTATTTTCATGTTAACATTAAAAATACTTTTCTTAATCTCTTTATTGGAGGGGTGGTGAATAAAATAAAGAAGAGTGGATGCCTAGAGAAAAAATGTCACATTTCTCACACTAAGGGAAATTCAGGATCTTTTTTTATTATTGCTTTATAAAACTAGGAACTTAAAACTTATATGCTATTAAAAGATGGATTATTAGCTATGATGTTATGCTATACTAATTGGTAATATATGAACAAAGAAAAAGTAGTTTAATTAAGTAAGTTCTGAATTTAACTCATAAAAACCCCCGTGACATGCACAGTAAAGGATGCCTTTAGTGAGATGGGTAATTACTGGTGAAAAGTCACAAGAGTGATGAGGTCTCACAGAAAAATAAGAAATAAATATACTAGATTTATTTGAAAAGTGATTTGTGGCAACCTTGTTCAGTTGCAATATCTTCAAGTCACTTCTTTCTCTGATTAATCAATTGTATTATTCTGTGACAACTAAGGTGTTTGATATTTCTTGCAATTTTGAAGTTTTAATTTATATACCAGGAACTATTTTCTTTGTGAAATGTCATATATGGTACAAATAAATATTAGGGTTTGAAGCTAAATAAAAGTGTTATTCAAATGAAAACATACCATTTACCTCTTTTTTTTTTTCATTAGTGGATGTCATTACAAAGGGTTAAGACTTTTAGTGCTGGATGTAGTTACCATAATGGTAAAATGATGAATTTTATAAAGATGCTAACAATATTTGCTAATTGCTAATCAAATTCAATATTGATAGAAATGTTGATATTATAGAAACTAGTTTGTACACAGTAAATAGAACAAACTGTTAGAAATGTTGATATTATAGAAACTAGTTTGTACACAGTAAATAGAACAAACTGTTAGAAATGTTGATATTATAGAAACTAGTTTGTACACAGTAAATAAAACAAACTGTTAGAAATGTTGATATTATAGAAACTAGTTTGTACACAGTAAACAGAACAAACTGTTTGAAATCTTAATATTATAGAAACTAGTTTGTACACATCTGTTCATCCTATTTAGTCTCATGTTGTCTTTAGAAGACGTAAAACCAAAGAGAATGCATGAATGTGTTGAAAACAGTTTCTCTAATACCAAGACTTCTGAGTGTTTGTTCTATATACTGTGGTTTCTCAATAACTGTTACATCCAATATTGTCAACTTTTATTACTAGTTTAGTGAGAAGGCTGGTTGGGTGACCTGTTTCAAAACATTTGTCCAAGCTAATCGAAGAAACAAGAGGGTAAGTTATTTATTAATGTGCTTATATGTACAAAATTATCAAAATGAAGAAATAATTTTATGGTTGGTACAGTAATAAAATTTGGTATGATGGTAAAAGTAAAAGATGCAAGAAACTATGATACAAGTGGTTTAGTGTGGTATATGAAAAACATTGCAATCTCCATATGTTTAACTACAGCTTAAAACAGAAAATATGATATGCAAAATAAGCATGTAGTAGTAAGTGTATGCAGTATTCATTTCGTTCTGTCATTTTCACAGTACTATGGAAAGGAATTTTCCAAATAACTGAAAACTCAAACTGTATATAATTGTACATTACATTTAACACTCATTACTTTATTAAATTTTACTCAGCTAGATGACATTCTCAAAATTCTGTTGTGCATAATCTACAAGAAACTTAATTGATTACTTCTGACTCATTAAGCAGTATTTTGAATATTTGTTATGTTTCAATACAAATTTTTATAAGCTGTCTGAGGATGTTGAATAATTCATTTATTAGGCAGGCATGTTAGTTAATATTTGCTTTATCTGGCTTCTGGATGATTTGAAATGTATTAAGCATTTAGAGTTTTATCAGTGAATCTTTTTTTCAGGTGTTTTTCAATGGTATTGATGCACTAAAAGATGGAGACATGGCCAGTTTGTCTATTGGTCTGGAATTTGCTTTTAAAGAACTAAAGAAGGTAATTGTGGTTGTTAAATTTATTATGATGAAGATATGTTGTTTGAGATCCATAACTTGGGCTACTATATATACTTAAAAAACATCTACAGGAATTCTCCACATTTTTACGTAGCAAGCTTTTAGTTATATTGTAGCTCTAGTTATAGCATATTTGAGTTACATTGTAGCTCTAATTATAGCATATTTGAGTTATATTGTAGTTCTAGTTATAGCATATTTGAGTTATATTGTAGCTCTAGTTATAGCAGGCTTTCAGTTAAAGTGTAGTTCAAACTAACTGTTTTGATAACAATGTACAAGATTTAAGGTCAAGACTATTTTTCAGCTAACACCATTTCTATTCTTGTGTCTCTGCTCTTATACTTCTGTATAGTTTAATTAGGAATTGAAACCAGAATCGTCAAAGCCTGATGATAATTACTATAATATATAGCCAAAAGCATGGTGAATAACAAAGTTTATAAGTTTGGAGAATTCCTGGGTACACTTTTACTATGATATATTTTTAAAGTACTGCAAGTTTTATGACTTTGGAAAGTGTGTAACTCAGTGTCTAAAGTATAGTGACTGCTAGTAGTAACTGAAATGTTTGACACAAGTCTTCCTCTTTATGGAAGTGCCACTGACCTCCTATAGACAAATATTACCATTAGTCTTGTCCACAGAGGTGTAGCTAGCTTTTTATGAACACATATTGCTATTATACTTATCTATCAGGGTGTTGGCAGCTTTTTATGGATAAATGTCGTTATTAGACTTGGTTGTAAAGATGTTGGCAGTCTCTTATGATAATTATTGACATTTTACCTCTCTGTGGTTGCTGTTTTATTCATGAACTTTATAAAACCAGGTACCATAGATTATGGGTTTGTTCTTTCTCATGAACTTTATAAAACCAGGGTCCCCTTGGTTATGGTTTTGTTTGTTTATCTCATTAACAGTTTATTAAATACAACAGAATTTGTTCATAATGACAAGATTTTACAGATAGAACTCATAAATGTACTTTAATTTTTCTTAATTAAGGTTTCACATTTCATAAATTAAATACAAAATTCATTCAGTTCTTTGAGAGATTCATTGATATTCTTGCCACAGGTAATGGGTTTAAAAGTTTCAGAGTATAAAAATCTATTACAAATTTACACATTTATTCCTTGGAATATTATTTAGAATAATATGAATGGCGTTAATGTTTTGACTCCATTAATTTAACCCTCTAGGTTTTAGTGACTTACATTCAAGTTTTAATTAAACAACTTTTTGTTGATGTTATACTAATTAGTATAGTATAAAATCAAAGCTAATAATCCATATTTTGATATTATATAAGTTTTAAGTTCTTAATTTTAAAAGGCATTATTTAAAAAAATCCTAAATTTCCCCTAGTTTTCCCTAATTTTCTTTATTTTATTCACCACCCCTCCAATAAATATGAAATGTAACGTAAAATACTCACTATAAAATTGTCATTGCTCAGACAAACCATAATTTTTATAGCCTTCAATCTTGTTTGGTTACAGAACCATCAAATAGAAAATTAGACCCCTTTTGCCACTCCCACCTGTTACATCCTCTCTTTCAGGATTTGTTACTAGTTCTCTCTTACGCTTAATACTACATTATGTATAACCGATAGAAAGCCAGGTTTTCATCTATCAAATGACGTATTATATTGCGTTGTTTTCTGAACACAGAATTGTCAATTTCTCTGTTAGTACAAGCTTTGTTCCCATGGGAAAGATAACAGCCAGCTTGGATAAATTTGTAAATGGTTTTTATCTCATAGTGATAGTTAGGGAAAATTGTCTGCTTTGTACATGGTATTATTCTATGTTCTTTGGTGCATTATTTAATAAAATAAAAATTATTTAATGCACTACTAAGAGTACAAAGAGTTTACGTGGTCAGTCAAATTGACCAAGTATGTGTTGAGAGAGTTAAATTGTTATTATATATAGTTAATTCTATCAGAGTATACAGCGTTGCTCAGATGAAAATATAGTGAGTTGTTTTGATTAAATCAACCATATTAATCATGATTTTTTGCAAAAAAATCAAAATGATTTCTTTACCTAATTAAAATCAATAAATATAACAATATGCAAAAAAAAAAAATTTGGTAAAGCTATTTTAATCAAAGTAAAACCAAGTACATTGCTCCTGCTTCTTGCATGTGCTTTGTGTGACATTTCAAGTTTCCAAAATAAACCTCCCTACCTTTTGGTGTCCTGATTTCTGCTATGTTTTCAAGTTTTGTGTGCAGCATATTTTGACTTTATTATCATTCTTAGTGAACAATTGAGTTATTCTTTTCTCATTGCAACACAACGTAAGTGAACATTTGCCGATACCAAACCTTTTTGTAAAGTCATTGCACAGGTGATTCTTGCAAGTACACCAAGCAAAGCAAAATATATGGCTGAAGCAAACCTATTTATTTGAGGGGGTGTACATGCATGTTCAAGGGAAAGCACTAGCTTTTTCAGTTAAGGGGAGTTATATAATAAGTATGTATGTGTAGAAGAAAGAGAAAAGGAGGGAATGAGTACAAATGAAGGCTCCACAAAGTTTTTAAATTATTTTAACACTTAATTGATCATGGATAGAATTATTAACATACGTTTTCACACACAGAAGAAATGTAAATAATAGCCCTCTTGATCACACATTACCAAAAAATTTGGCCTTTCCAACTTAAGACAAATTGTTTGTCCTGTTTGCCAAAACTTTGGCCTCAATTGGCAGGCTCAAAATGGTCTCTGAGACCATGGCCACATAGCCCATGTTACTTCCTTTACAAAGCTGTATCTGTACCCCAGATTTGGAGTTTCTAGCTTTAAGAAGTGGCCAAGCATAAGAACAGAACCACAGGTAGAGACATTTGTGCTTCTCTATGTAGATTAACTATATATTCATTCTATATATAGTGTGATATTACATCAGTAGTTTAGTTACATTACTATTCCATGATTATACTATATATATATAGTATGACATTACATCAGTAGTTTAGTTACATTACTGTTCTATGATTATACCATATATAGTATGACATTACATCAGTAGTTTAGTTACATTACTGTTCCATGATTATACCATATGTAGTATGACATTACATCAGTAGTTTAGTTACATTACTGTTCCATGATTATACCATATATAGTATGACATTACATCAGTAGTTTAGTTACATTACTGTTCCATGATTATACCATATATAGTATGACATTACATCAGTAGTTTAGTTACATTACTGTTCCATGGTTATACCATATAATGTATGACATTACATCAGTTTCTTTGGTCTAAAAACATGCTGGGGAAGAATGGATAAAATATAATGTGTTTTTTGTACTCCTTTTGTAAGGTATATTATAGTATTTATTTATTGTTTAATTAAAAGATTTGCTTATTCTGTTTACTATATTGAGTGTCATTACTTTTCTATATGGTTTACTGTTTGCTATTATAATTTTATTATAAAGCTTGTTTTAAATTATCATGTTAATTTATGTATTTAGGACAAACTTAAATATCCTAATGTGGCCAAACCTCATGAGATGTTACTAGGTTTATGGCCAAAAATATCATTAAAGTTGAAGGTATCCAACTGATGAAACAATGTATTCTTATCTTTATAATTAGCTACATAGATTGCTAGGTTGATTTGTAATTTTTCTCTAAGTACATAGCTTGTTCTGATTGGAAGTTAATATTCATTTATAAACCCAGGGGACTGTAGTTTTAGTTTTTTTTTCTCAAAACATTATAAAATCAGCGTACAATTTGTGATGGGTTTTGTTTTTCTCGTGAACTTTATGAAAACCAGTGCACAATTGGTAATGGCTTTTGTTTTTTTTTTCCTGAACTTTAGAAAAATAGAAAAACAGGGTAATGTATATTATGGGATTATTTTTTCTCAGGGTACATTAGGTACTGAATGGGTTTGTTTTCAGCCAAGTAAAAGTGATTAGTTGTTATTGTTTTCAGTTTCAGGAAAAGAAGGAAGATTGGGAAGGAGCAGAGTGTCACCAGGTGATAATGGTATTTACTGATGGAGGCACAGAGGAGTCTTGGGATGTCATTGAAAAATGGAACAAGAAGAAAAAGGTGGATTTGTGAAAGTAATAGTATCATGTGTGGGTTTAAAGTTAAATATAAATAGTATGGTAATAGTTTCATCTCCTTCTCTTTATCAGACATGGCTATTGATTAGTGTACATATGACATCAATAACTGTACATTTTATGTCACAAATTAGGAATAGTACTTCACTTTAATCCTCAGGATTTTTATCAAATTTGTAGTAGTTCAGTTATACATCACCCAGCATTCATTCAGAATTATAGATCATCCTGTTCAAGTAACTGAACACTTAGTTATTGTGAAACTGTAGATCATCCTGTGCAAGTAACTCTGAACACTTAGTAATAACAGAACTGTAGATCATCCTGTGCAAGAAACTCTGAACACTTAGTAATAATGGAACTGTAGATCATCCTGTGAAAGTAACTCTGATCACTTAGTAATAACGGAACTGTAGATCATCCTGTGAAAATAACTCTGAACACTTAGTAATAATGGAACTGTAGATCATCCTGTGAAAGTAACTCTGATCACTTAGTAATAATGGAACTGTAGATCATCCTGTAAAAGTAACTCTGATCACTTAGTAATAACAGAGTTACAGCATCCTGTGAAAGTAACTCTGAACACTTAGTAATAACGGAACTGTAGATCATCCTGTGAAAATAACTTTGAGCACTTAGTAATAATGGAACTGTAAATCATCCTGTGAAAATCAGAACATTTAATAATAACAGAGTTACAGCATCCTGTGAAAGTAACTCTGAACACTTAGTAATAACGGAACTGTAGATCAACCTGTGCGAGTAACTCTGAACACTTAGTAATAATTACTCGGATTTGTTATCCACTGTAACTCAGGACTCAGATTCATATTTTACTAAGACTTTGTATCCACCATGAAACCATGAAGACATACATACTATAACTATGAAAGTACTTAATGTATCTCTACAAAATTTGACAAGCTTTTACTAAATGTTACAAGTCTTTTGAACAAGAAAAATCAGATTTTTTAATTAATCATTTTATATAATGATTTGCTTGTGAACATAGAGAGCAAGAGTGCAAAATGATTTTCATGATAAGATTGAAAATATTATTTTTTTATCTTAAAGTTTTCAAATATCATTTGCTTAACCTCTAAAACCTCATAAATAAATATCAAATGATTTTTAATCAATAAATCTTTATATTTTGTATGTTAGTTTCACTACCCTAACTCTATATGGATTCACCTGATTTGATTGACCTTGTAACCACCATAGAAAAATACAAAATAAATCTAAATTTCCCCTTTTATTCTAGATTGACTGCAAATTGTGACAGAAATGCAATTGTTTATCCTAAATAGCTTAAGGCTCTTAACAGTATTCACCTGTTTCTACTTCATTTTATTGGTTTATTGCACTTTCAACCATGTCTAACTAACAATCCCACCATACAAGTTGTAAATCACCCAGCAAATGCTAGCTCACATTACTGTATTGAATGAGGTAACTCATGAGCTGCTCATGATAAATCTCATAAAGCACTTTTATTATAATTATTTGTTTTCTTTATCTTATCTAATCTAAATTTATCTAACCTAATAAATTTCTTATCTTTACATTTTAGTTTCTTTTATAACAATAAAGAGAAAATATACATGAAAAACAATAAAATAGTTCTTACATTTCACATGATTTTTTGAAGTTTATTCAGGTGAAATTGAAGCCTTCTGTTTTATAATACACTGTACTTAATGCATCTAAGAACACAGAATATAACACACAGAAAGCAAATAATGTCCTATAACCATTAGAATTTAACTAGCTTTCTAACTAAAACAAGAAAGGCTCAAAATAATTTCATTAGCTGCTTCATCTGAACATTGCAACACAAACTTTCAAACTGAAGATGAAACTGACAATACTCTGTACTAGAAACAACATAGCATTATACATCATTTGATATATTAAAACTTTGCCTATCTATTCATTATAAATTATATAATATGAAACATCAGAGAGAATTATTGGCAACTTGTGAAAGGTGGGCATGGCAAGTGGGTCTAATTTTCTAGTTTATGACTTTGTAAACAAAGAAAATTGAAGGCTAACGGAGAAGTATGAAAATGGATCTCAGGCCACAGTTTATAAGTCAGTAAATTCTTCTTGATATTGAGGCTTTGTTCATTATTAGCCCTAACCAAACTCTTAAACACATTAGAATGGACAGGAAAGTCACATTCACCTAGGGTGTGTATAACTATATTAGACTTAACTAGAGATCTTGCATGACAATGTTCCTTTATGTGGGTTTTTAAAAGAACATGGTAACGCAAGATCTCTAATTAAGTGTAATATACTTATGCACACCCTCAGTGAATATGACCTTCCTGTTCATTCTAATTTGTTTAAGATCTTGGCTAGGGCCAATGATGAAGAAAGCCTCGGTATCAAGGAGAATTTACTGACTTATAAACTGAAGCCTGAGATCCATGTTCTTAGTTTTGCAAACTTATATGATATTAAAACTTGATTTATTAGCTGTGTTTACATGTCCAGTTTATTTATATACATTGATGATAAAGTAGTTTAATTAAATCTTCAATGGAACTCTGTTAAAGGTCATAATGTGCACACTTTGACCTACTCGTAATAAGAGGGTTAACCCTTCTAAATGTGATGACATGCCCTATGACCCTTACTCGTCTCAATAGGGTTAAGACATTTTAAGTGTTAGAATATTTTAATGTTGATTAATGGATTAGTATGCTGCCCATTACTTATAGAAAACAGAAAGCCATATTAATAGTTTTTCTTGTTAGTAGTCTTTAAATTTCACTTATGTGATGTAATAAGAAGGTTGGTAATATGTAGTTACTATTTTGTTAAAGATTCGAATATTCCTGTATGCTGTGGGTCCTCACATCCTTCCTTATGCTACGCTAAAGGACATAGCTTGTGCCAGCAAAGGTAAGTTGAATGTCATTTTGAATGAATAAACTCAGAGAGGAAGACATTGCATTATAAAGCATGTTTACACAGTGTCACCTTTACAATTTCCTTTATTTATCAATAAATCAATATAATGATGCATTTTTATTCTATTTCTATGACTAAAGATAACTCTTCTCATAAGTCACATTTCTTAATGTTAGACTTTCAATAAATCGGAGTTCCTCCATTAAAAAGGGAAAACAGCTTGTTGACAGATGTGTATTTAGAATACTGGTGGAAGACAAAACTGTTTGTTGACAGATGTGTATTTAGAATACTGGTGGAAGACAAAACTGTCTGTTGACAGATGTGTATTTAGAATACTGGTGGAAGACAAAACTGTTTGTTGACAGATGTGTATTTAGAATACTGGTGGAAGACAAAACTGTTTGTTGACAGATGTGTATTTAGAATACTGGTGGAAGACAAAACTGTTTGTTGACAGATGTGTATTTAGAATACTGGTGGAAGACAAAACTGTATGTTGATAGACGTGTTCCATAGTGTTTAACTTTTTGTATTGTAAACATTTTTAATGCTATATTAATTATTCATTATTATCATATAATGTTTGTCATTTTATTCCCTACAGGATATTTCACTGCAATTCCCTCTATGGGAGCTATTCGAACAAAAATTCAGGTTTGTTGAGTTTGTAGGTTGCTTGTGTTTTACAAATCAAAGCCATTTTCATATTTTATGTGTTGTTAACTGTGCCCTATGATGATAACATCTATTTGGTAATAAAGGTAATATTTCTCATGCAAAGGTCAAATTGGAATGCAAATGACGTAGTGGTGAAGTGTACAGTAAAAATGAGTAAGGACAATGAACTTACTAATTTTTATAGAAATTCAGTTTTATAAAATGACATGTTGGTGAAGTAAATAACAATGAATTTACTACTTTTTATAAAAATTCACAGCATCATTACAACCGGTATTTAAATTTTACAATTTATTATAGGATTTCTGCAGTTGGATCTTTAATAATTGTAATGAATATTAGTTAGTTTATTTAAACATTATCTATATTTTTTACTTTAGTAAATGTTAAAATGTAGTGGAAACTAAGAACTTTAAGTAATTTCTTAGTGAAATTTATTTGTTTGTTTGTAATGTGTGCGTGATTAAAGTATATATACATCTGAACATTGATGATAGGACCACTGTTTTCTATTTTAAAGTTTTAGGACAATGATTTTAAGAGCTCTCAACAGAACATTGATGATAGGACCACTGTTTTCTATTTTAAAGTTTTAGGACAATGGTTTTAAGAGCTTTTAACAGAACATTGATGATAGGACTGCTGTTTTCTATTTTAAAGTTTTAAGACCATTGTGTTAAGAGCTCTCAACTGAACATTGATGATAAGACTTTTTGTTTTCTATTTTAAAGTTTTAAGACCATTGTGTTAAGAGCTCTCAACTGAACATTGATGATAAGACTTTTTGTTTTGTATTTTAAAGTTTTAAGACCATTGTGTTAAGAGCCCTCAACTGAACATTGTTACTGGGATTGTTGTTTCTCTCATTTTAAAGTTTAATGGCCATGGTGTTAAGCATTTTCAACTGAACATTGCTGATGTGGCTTGTTTTAAAGCTTTTCCTGTCCCATGATGATGGCACCTAAATTATGATCTACATAGTATGCGTGTAGATAATAATTAAGACTACTTATTACTAATTATTGTAGAATTTTAGCAGCTCCTCTGGTAGAAGATATTACATAATAATAATACAGGATTCTTGTGGAACATCCAGTGGTGACTATCTCTCATTAGCAAAGTGTTGCTAAACTCACCTTTTGTTAATATGGTTTTTGATCAGCTTGTAGTACTACGTGTCTAATACCAAAGTTCGATTAACATACACTGCTTCATCTATTACTCAGCACTGATGCTAGAGTTAATATGCACTCAAAAGTCAATTTCAGGCATGATACTAGGGTTAATATGTACTCAACAGTCAGGTTTAGGCATGATACTAGAGTTGATATGCACTCAACAATTAGTTTCAGGCATGATGCTAGGGTTAATATGCACTCAACAGTCAGGTTCAGGCAGGATACTATAGGTAATACGTACTCAACAGCCAAGTTCCAGCAGGTTACTATAGTTAATACATACTCAACAGTCAGGTTCAGGCATGATACTAGAGTTAATACGTACTCAACAGTCAATTTCAGGCATGATGCTAGGGTTAATATGCACTCAACAGTCAGGTTCAGGCAGGATACTATAGTTAATACATGCTCAACAGTCAGGTTCAGGCAGGATATTATAGTTAATACATACTCAACAGTCAGGTTCAGGCAGGATACTATAGGTAATACGTACTCAACAGTCAGGATCAGGCAGGATACTATAGGTAATATGCACACAGCAGTCAGGTTCAGGCAGGATACTATAGTTAATACGTACTCAATAGTCAATTTCAGGCATGATACTAGAGTTACTAAGTACTCAACAGTCAGGTTCAGGCATGATACAAGAGTTGATATGCACTCAACAGTCAGGTTCAGGCAGGATACTATAGGTAATACGTACTCAACAGGCAGGTTCAGGCAGGATACTATAAGTAATATGCACTCAACAGTCAGGTTCAGGCAGGATACTATAGTTAATACATGCTCAACAGTCAGGTTCAGGCATGATACTAGAGTTACTACGTACTCAACAGGCAGGTT